TCTACACTACAGGCATCGAAAAATGCTTTCAACGCTTCGCCCATTCACTTGAATGGGGTGACGAAGAAGATTTGTAATCTTCGCCGAACTGCATTGTGGGGAGCATGGCATGGCTTTGCAAGCATCACGAGCATCTATCGGCATATAATGTTCAACTTTTGAGGCTCGATGCTTGGCATCAGCCAATCAAATCCCGTTTATGCAAATCCCGCCAGTGCAAGCGCAGCCAATCAAACCGCGTGCAAGCTGGGAGAGCCAGACCGCAGTTCATTTCCTCATATTCCAAACGAGATATTACGGTAGCAAATCACCCGGTTCTTTACGACCAGAACTATTTACCGGGATACAAACCGGAGGAACCAGGCATGGAGGGAGGTGGCAGAGACAGTGGGTGAAACTGGTAGGTTTTCGCCTGTTTGGAGAGTTTATATCCAGTTTACTTCGTTTTAACATTGCTATTGCTTTGTATGTCGGGGGCGGGAGATTCATGTGATTGGTTGTTGGTCGCGTTGTTCGCAAAAAATCGCCAAGCTTCAGACACGCCCAGTATCAAGATCTTTTGATGCCTGTAGTGTAGACGGGCCGTTAGGCACATATTAGACATTCAAGTGGTTTGAATGCAAGCTCATGCTTTAACAGGTAGAACAATATTTGGGATTAGGGATGAATCACCTGTTGATGCAGCCACTGCACCAATCAGGACGGGAGGAATTCCAAAAATAAGAATAATTGCAGCAGCAACAAAACAATTAAACTTTGCTGTGGCTGACGAACAGGCCGAAAGAGTTCTCTGATGAAACTCCTGATAGCCGAGGCAGCCCAGAGTCTGAAAAGAAAATCAATGTTAAATCATAAAACCCCAGTATTGTGAGTAAGAACTGTTGCTGCCTTAAAACAGAAGACTTAAGCTCTTATTTGTGCTCAATCCTCTCAGTGAATACAGAGCTGAATCCAGATCAAAAGGTTTCTCTCAGTGATTGTGCTGTTATGGTAAATGTTTGTTGTTTGTTTCTCATGTATTGTGCCTTGATATCTGTCTGTTGATGTTACACATGGAGCTACTATGAAGCAAGTCACATTTCAGTCTTGATCTGATCATTAAAGTATTATCATATCGTAATATAGTCTTCCACCTACCAACACACACAGGTTGTCGATCCAGCGCCAGGCCTTTTCTGATGGAAGTGTTCCTAACCAGGGAGCCTGTAGCGAGTTATTCAGAGCCGTCTGAGCGATGTTTAGGGAGGACGGGTTCTTCAGAACAAACGGTAAACAGAACCACTGCAGACACAAGGAACATAACACTGAGGAACCAATAAAGATCTCTTAATCAACGGACGTTAAGAGAAAAGTCAGGATTTGGAGAAAAAAAGTCAGAATTTAAAAAAAAAGTCAGAATTTTAAGATCAAAGTCAGAATTTGGAGAAAAAATTATACTCGATATTTCTGAGATAAAAAAGTCATAAAGGTCAGAATTTAATCTCAGAATTCTGACTTTTTCTCAGAACTTGAGGCACAATTTGTAATAACTGACCAGGCTGATGAACATGAGGATGAGCTGCACAACATCTGTGTACGCCACCGAGTGAAGACCTCCCATCAGGGTGTAGACGATCGCCACCGCAGCAGAGATCCAGATGCACACGATGAACGGTAGACCAATGATCACACTCATGGTTGCACCTGTGGACACACACACACACACACACACACACACACACACACACACACACACACACACACACACACACACACACACACACACACACGGCAAAAGTACACACATCCTTTACTCAAGTAGAAGTACAGATACTCGTGTTTAAAAATACTCTGGTGAAAGTAGAAGTACTGACTAAACTTCTTTACTCAAGTAAAAGTAAAGAACTTTGAAATGTCCTTCAGTAAAAAGTACCCATAACTAGCAGCTGTTTTAAAGAGTACCTGACCTCCCTTTATATTAATAGAACAATAATGTCATTGTTAGCTAATGAATGTTTCCATGGTGACCAACGGCAACATGACAACGTTTCGATTGGTCCCTCTTCTTTAGAGAAGACCAGGAAATGATGGATACACGGATCGTGTTCAAATCAATAGGCACGCAATGACTCTAAATAATAATGATCACGCCACAAACACACATTCAGACTAAAGGAACCAGCCTGTTTGGGAAATGAGAGAAGTAGAAAGTACAGGTATGTGAGTTCAACATGTAAGAAGTAGAAAGTACAGGTATTTGAGTTCAACATGTAAGAAGTAGAAAGTACAGGTATTTGAGTT